TCCATACATAACTCCTTGTATTTTTTACCCTATAAATATTATCAACATTAGAGATAAATATTTATACATTATAATTAGTTAATGCTAACCTATTATATCATAGTCTTTTATGAATTTGTCTTCTATCAATGAATGTTATTATTAAAATTATATGGAGTTCCTTGAATTTATACAGTAATATTAATTTTTAACCTATCATATATTTTAAGATTCTTATTCCTTAACTGGATAGTTTTAATCTACGGTAATTGCTATTTTTTACCGGCATCAACTTAGACTACTTTTAGATGTTGAAAAAAGATGATAAATTTTAAATTGAAAGTTAAATTTATATATCTTAATTTTATAATATCAAACATTTCCTCTTTTCTTTACCAAATTTTAGTTTTTTTTGTGATTTTGAACTTTTGAGAGTGTGTTTTATAATTTTTAAACTTTGATAGTATTTTATAAAAAAAATTAAATTATAAGTTGGGTGCTTATAATTTATATTTTATGTGTTGGTGATAAGTTTTCAAATGTTAGAATATTTCTTTTAACTGTAAAAATTTAAAGGTATTTTTACAATTACTAAAATTTTGGGTTGTTTTTTAAAAAAATTTAAAATTTTAATGATCTACTGATAGTTTCTAAATTTAATGTGTACCGGTTATAAGTTTTGAAATTAGGATTTTTTTTTTTTTGTAATTTTTTACTTTTGAGAGAGTTTTTGTAATTTTTATAACTTTGAGGTTATTTTTTATAAATTTTAAATTTTTAAGTGCTTAATGTTAATCCTTGGAATTCATCTATGTTGTTGCAAAGTTTTGAAATCTCTGAATTTTATAGTGTTTTTTTGTAATTTAAACTTTTAAGGATGTTTTTGTAATTTCTAAAATGTTGAGGGTGTTAATTGCAAATTTTAAAATTTTAGATTTCATGTTTATTTTTAAGTTTTAAAAAGTTAATGTATTTTGTGTAATTTTAAATTTTTAAAGCTATTATATGCAATTTTTAAAACTTTTGGGTTTTTTGTAATACTTTATGTATTATAATATGTTATTTAGGTATAATTTCTTTATCTTATTTTTTTCTAAATTGTTGAGTTATTGTAGTAAATATGGAGTTAATATAATATATAATTAGCATTTGGATAAATTAAGATTTAAATAAAATATTTAAAATATTTTTTTTAAATTGTTGAGCTATAGATAGTTTACGTGGAATTAGATAAGATATGATTAATATAAAAAAGATTAAGATTTAAATAAAATATCCAAAATAGTAAAGGGTAATATTGACCATAAAAAGTTTTTCTTGAACTCGTGCTTTTAAAAGAAGTATGATATGAAGTATGATTAAAAACTATATAATTTTTTATAACATGTTGATTATGTAATTTAATACTTATAGGTATATAAATTATAATAGATATTTTTATTTGAAGATATGACCATGTCTAGGTTTTCGAAGCGAAAGAAATTGAGATGTGAGTAATAAACTAATTTTACTAGTAGTGACTCGCACTTCCTACTTGTCGAATGACTTGCGATATTTTATCAGTCAAGCTAATTAAAACTCTTTTACATCTTAACAATATTTGGATTTATGTCACTTTCATATTTTTCACGTTCTTGTTAACATGTTTTCTTAAATCCAAATCACATGGTTAAATAAAAAACAATTGGACACAAGTCACACAACAATCCAGGAAGATCCAGCAACAAGAATTTTCATTCTTTAACGTGAAGACATCTCCTACATCATCATCGTCAGAGACAGGGGCAGAGCCACATGGGCCCCCCCAAACACACACACACAAAATAAAAACCCAAAATGACAAAACAAGTAGAGAGTATTCAGAACTTTGTAATTGTTTTAAGCGTAGGAGCTGAAGTAGGAAAGTGTAAGGCCTAGGGGTGCCAAACCGTATCCGTATCCGAGGAAATATCCGTAACCGTATCCGTTAGGATACGAACATGATTACTCAAATCTATTACCGATAGGATATGGTTGCGGATATGGTTTTGTAGTGAAATATCTGTATCCGTATCCGAAAAAATCCGAATACATATTGGTAATACTCTTACGATAGTTTCGATTCTTAGATTATGGATTTGTGATTAATTTTGATGATCAAGATGTCTAATCTTAGCTTTTCAATCATAATGAACATATTAACGAACTCTTTTTGTATCACATGACTATATTTTTCTGAATACTATCTAGTTTTCTCATATCCTTTTTGTATCCACATGCATATCCATTTATATATCCGCATCTATATCCGTAACCGTATCCGATTTTGGCGGATATGGATATGAATTTTTCTTACCGACGTATATCCATATCTGTATCCGTATCCGAGATGGGTAAGCGGATATGGATATGGTAAGTGCTATACCGGAGCCGTATCCGCTCCGTTAACACCCCTAGTAAGGCCCCAATTATTAAACAGCAGTTTCTTTTCTTTTTTTTCCCCGTGGTCACGAGAACTGGCAATTGTCCGACGGCTCCCTCTCCAACCGCGAAACTCTGGTCTTCCACAGGCTTGCCCGCCCTCCTTAGCTCTTTCTTCGGTCTCGTCCACCCGATGATTCTTAAACATCAAACGTACTGACTGAGAATAATATTCTTTTGTAGTTCCGTGCTTACTTTCAATTACCGAACACCCTGCATGCGTCACCGAGCCGAAGAGAGAGATGAATTATATGTAGCTTGCTAGATACGGATGCATGTATGGCCAATTCTGGTGAGCTGGGCTCATCCTCATCCCTTCGTTCTCTGGTTGTTAGCTTGCTTGCACGTGATTTCATGAAACACGTGATCGAGTTATTAGTAAATCTACCTCGTAGCCCCAAAAACCCGGAGTTGTCTGATCCAAGCGTTTGGACGGTTAAAAGAAGTTTGTAATTAATCATGCATGATCCCCCTTTTAATGGGTTTGCTTCCCAAAATTCCTCAAAAGTCAAAACATTGGAGCGTTCTGGCGAAAACACTTCTGGATTTTCAAAACTATATTAAGTTTTCCTAAACCAATTAGAAAATCCCATAAACGATTCTAATTAATGGTAGATTAACACCTTTGAGTTACGAAAAATGGAAATCTGCGGTGAAAATTATGAATGAAGAACATTCATACAGGAGAACTAGACACAATATAGTCTGAGTCAAAATTTTAGACTTTATAATCTACATGTTAATGTAATTTACGAAATTTGATCTATGGTGGACAGGCTGGTCTATCCTATTAGTCGTCCTTTGGTTGGCAGGATCTGACATAGATCCTGATTCTTGGAGGGGAAGCTTTTAATTATACATAAATAATCATGGATCTTTTGAGCGAGATAAATAACCAACTCTTGTACTGCTTTATAGGCTTGAAGGCCGTAGTGTTGTCCCTCTTCTTTATTGTTGTTTTGGTTAGGCAAAGATGACGTCGCCTTTCCTTATAGAATAGTTTTTAAAATAAAAAAAAACAGGTAACAAATAATTAAATAGATCCCTTTACAGATGATGATCCAGACTATTTATCTTAATTTATCCATTTGAATAACCAGCGTGTTACTTCAAAACCTGAGGAATCATATGTCTATTCTACAGCCATCAGAAGATTACGCCCATTATATATATTTTTAGTAACACTTAACACCTATTAACTTGTCGTTTATGAGGGTAAATTGCAGATTACGCCCATTATATATATTTTACTTCCCGTATTTGTGTTACTTCCCGTATTTGTCGTTTATGAGGGTAAATTGCAGATTACGCCCATTATATATATTTTTAGTAACACTTAACACCTATTAACTTGTTCTTTAATACTTAGCTAGCCCCCTCTGTTTGTCATTTTCAGAAGGGTTAGCTGCAAGTAACATCCATCATTAATACTTGGCCCCCTCTGATTGTCAAATTTTAGAAGGATAACTTGCAAATAACATCCGTCTCATGAAATAAGGGGGTTAAATGCTAATAAATTAGTTCAAAATTACTTACTAGCTTAATTGCACATAAATACCTTGTAGCTCCCATGCGTTTACACATCCTCACTTGTTTTTGGAAGCACTTGTATTTACTGAAATATTTAAAATTCAATATCCTCAATATGCTTACATGAGAATTTTTCCCCAAAAATTCTCATGTGACACTCATATGCTAATTCTAGAACATTTTGACTCTTACTACTTGTTAAATTTGCTATGAAACATATAAAAAATGCTCTAAAATAAACATGTGAGTGTCACATAAGAATTTTCAGGGAGATTCTCGCATTTGCGTAACTAATAGTATATAAGCGCAAATTTTTAAAATAGGACGTATAAGGACAGCCAAAAAACAAGTGAAGTATGTACGTGCAAAGTAGAGGAACTAGAGGGTATTTAAGTGCAACTAAGCCTTACTTACTAGTGAGGATATCCCCAACACCCTGATCGGCAAGAGATAACCCAACAAACTGATGTCGTGTCTCAATTAGGACAATAATTATTTGACTTGCCAACTATTGAGTTGATGCTTTCCCATGAACGATTTAATTTCTGTTAAAAGATGAATGAATGACGTTATGCTTTACATTCATCTTAGTTCAACAGTCATTTTAATTGAGGTTGACAACACGCGTAGCTGTGTTTTCTTAAGAGTCCTTTACTTCGAGAAGCATTTTCCGATAGACTACAAACATTTTTGGATAAATTGCACATAACCCAGCTCATTTATATTCAAGAGTTGCGCCAAAACCCTCACTTACTAACCACTTAGAACCCTTAAACTGAAATAATATTTTAGAAAGATAAATTATAAATAATGTCTCTTTTTCTCATGAATTTGGAAAGCCAAAGTACTGATAAATAAGTTGAGAGAGATTTAGCAATAATTAGGAAGATATTACACAAGCATCCCTCTTTCTCATGAACTGAGAAGGTCAAGTGCAAATAAACGAGTTGAGGGGGTATAGTACACAACTCGAGGCATACACGGGGCAGGTCATGTCCAATTTACCCAACATCTTTTTACTAAGCTACGCATTGAGTAACCATACACAAAGCAACCGCAACAAATAATATAATTCCAAATCCCTTAAAAAAGTTTCAGGTTTCTAAACTCTCTCACAAAGAACATAACTTTTCAAATAAAACACAACCAAGAATGCAAACAAAGCTCGCTTCTAAAACTAGTTCGCTCAATCTATACAGGAGATGAACTAAATAACTGGTAAACGATACTTTCATCGCCTTCAACAAAACATGGCAGGGTGATCTTTTCTTGACACAGGTGCAAACAAAATGTGTATGTTTTCTCTTGAAATTCCAAGTTTATTTCTACTACAATCGACTGCATCTACAACAAACCCGTGGGGACTGGACTGGACTGGGTTGGAATTCACCGGACCAAACTGGACCCAAACTCAAACGAGTCAACTCCACCCCTCAGACTGACCAAACATCACCAAGATCAAACAACCCTGCATAGTAAAAACATAAACTTTCAGCGTGAGAAAACAACTCTCAAGGCATCAGACTTGCTCAACTAAGCACTATTACTGACTGATGTTCAATTTAAAATTTGAAAGAGAGAACGCTCAAGAGCCTCAACTAGAATGGTGCCTACAAAGCCTACAGGTAAAAACCCGGGAATTAAACCTATCTTCGCCTCAGGTGAATTAATTTAGAAACTATTAACCACAGATATTAAATCTCAAATAATCAGAATAATTGTCAACAAATTGGAAGGTGCATACCTTCAGCCAAACTTGAATCCGCCAGGAGGAACCGAGTGCTGCTCACCAAATTGGAATCCAGTTTGACCTGCAGCATCGTTTGTTGGCATAGCTTCATCTTCTTCCTCCAACCAATATGTTTCAAGAATCTTCACAGCCTTCTCGTAGATCTCAGTGTTGTCATGACTCTGGAGATTCTCAATCTTTTCTAAGCCTTCAGCTTCATCAATCATCTGGGCATAAAGATTCACTCCTCCAGTCGTACCCAGGTTTTTCTCAGCTTCACCAACCTTCAAAATGTTCTCGAGTCCTTCTAAACAAACGGTGACAATTCTAGGGTCTGGACACACGAGGAGATCACACAAGGGTTTAATGCAGCCTTGACTAACCAGATACCTATTCACAACAAACAGAAATTAATCATGTGAAAGAAAGGTCATGTAAACAATACTATATAGCTTTCCTACGTTTTAGTAAAGCCACATACTTTATTTGATCATGCGTTCCGCCTGAAGTAGCATTGGAGATGGCCCATGCTGCCTCTTTCTTGATGTCAAACTCCGCAGTTTGAAGCAAATGTACCAGAGGACCAATGATATCAGCAGCAATAACAGCCTAGCATTTCAGAAGTAATACAATTTAAGTGTCCACAATCAAACAGGGGGTTCTCCTTTGTAATACGTCCCTTATATATGCTTAAATTTGATTCATTGAAATCACCAAAAAAAATGATCATATATCGAACATTGAACTCAACACAACAAAACATTAACATGCTTTAATGAGATTGTTGTCGCATGCTCGCATGAGCCTTCTGAAAATTTTGAACTATTTGATGTGTTTGATGTGTTCAAGTTCTGACATTTAACATTGGTAAAATAAATTTCAGATCCCCCTTCTTTGGTATTTTCTTAACGTTTTGTTCATTTTCTATAAGGAAAATTTAGAATGTTTATTTGTGTAAACCCTAAAATGTCTAGCAAGTGTATATCAGTTATATCATAAAGACAGACATTTATTTGATTATTAGAATTTTCAAGCAGCTGGACTTCCAAATTTTTGCGAAGGTAGATAATATTTCCTTCTATATTTGTCATTTCAACATGTTTTAATGAGCTTACTATTGCAGATGACTTATGAAATTTTGAACTATTTCTAATAAGTGCATTTCCCCGTGTGATATATTTTTTCCCCTAAGGGCATGTTTGGTTCAGCAAAATAATAGGAAAGCTCTTGGAAAACTACTGACACATTCTAACCCCTATCATTTTTCCCAAATAATTTTTGTTACTTCTGTTTG